ATTCAACTCAGAGCAGATAATTACTTGGAATGAATTATCTTGGGAAGAGCTATGGGATTGGACACTGACCATAGGGTGGTTCAAGGGGCGGGCCATTTGGATTCCTTATTAAGGACAGAGCCCAGGCCCTTCCTCACTCTTTCCAAGTCTTTGGCCAACCGGTTGCTTGCACTTGCCCCTCTTCTGAATCTGGTCAGAGCAGAGCATGGACATGGGAACAAGAACTGTCACTGAGAAGCCGTGGTGGACCCTGCCTGAAAACTTTGATGCTCCAATGGTGTTCCACATGGAAGCGGACCAGGAGGAGCTTATCTTCGGTGAGTAGCCCTTGCTGACGTCCCCTCCTTCAGCCTTGTCTCCTCGGGTTTCAATCTTTCCCTACTCTGCCACCTTCACAGGTCTCGGATCCCTTCCCCTATAAGGCCACCTCCCCACTCCCCAAGGGCTGGTGGCTGACATTCCCTCCTCTCACCTCTTCTGCTCACAGGGCACAGTGACACCTACCTTCGCTGCATCGAGATGAACAGCCGCACCCTTATTCAGCTGGAGAGCTGGTTCACAGCTACAGGCCAGACTCGTGTGACTGTAGTGGGACCACACAGGGCCAGGCAGTGGCTGCTGCACATGTTCTGTTGCATGGGGAGCCGGGACTCCTATCGTCATGCTCGAGGTAGGTATCCTCGGCTGAACTGTGGCGGTGGAGGGGCTTGATGGTGGAGTTCTGGCTGAGTTGTGTGGCATCTTGGATTCTTGAAGAATCCCTTGTGTGGCTGGGGAATCCAGGTGCTTCCCAGAGTCCATTGGGAAAGGAAGGGCTCACTTTTGTGGCCAGGTAGCCGGGAGGTGTAAATGGGTTACCTTGGCAGGCCTGGGCTGGGGTGACATCCATCCTGCAATGTCCCTGGTGGAGTCCCAGCCTGCCAACGGCCCCAGGAATGGGCTTTGCTTTACCAGCCTGGGACCTTTCTTTTTTTGCAGGTCTGGAGATGCTGGAGCGTGTCCGGAGCCAGCCCCTGACCAACAATGACCTGGTCGTCTCCATTAGCATGCCACTGTACACTGGAGACCCGTCTTTGGTTCCCAGGATAAGTGGAACCATCTGTCTTAGTGTTCCTCAGCCTTCCCCTTACCAAGTGATGGGCTGTTGTTCGGGATTCCACCTCTGAGTTCACTCTATCCATAATTAAGGACTGATCTCCCTGGGAAGTTTCTGATGAGAGAAGTCTTGGCTTCACTTTTGGTGAGGAAGACAAGAAAGACACCGAAGAAAGCTTGAATTTCTGGGTCGAGTCCTGTCTGTCTCATGCCTTCTAGGCACGTGTGTGAGGGAAATCTCCTGAATGTAACAAAGTGTTATATTGTCAAGGCAATCCAATAAAATAAGTTGCCTAAGATGCAAAGCCTTTGTGCTGTCTTCTTTTTCCTTAGAAGCCCCCTGCAGAGGCTTCTCTGGGCAAGGCCAGTGCTGATGTCTGGGGAGTCCCAGCCCAGGGAAGGGGCCAGGCACAAAAGTCAGCTCTTTCAGGAACTAGTCCTCTCAGGCCTGGAGCCTCATTAGGCTGCTCTGGGTTGATTGAAAACAGGGGCTTCTGAAAAGGGACCCTCTAAGGAGCCCCAGGGTTTTCCTGGACCCTGAAGTGCAGACCAATGGGGAGAATGGAAAGGTGGGAGGAAGGGTCCAGATAGAGGTTCTGAAGTCCTCAAGCTGTGAATTAATCCCTTCCAGAAGTTTTCTCCAAATGCCAAATCGACATTTGGATCTGTCTAGTCAAGGTTGTGGCATGCTAAACCTGTCCTCAGTTGAACTCTTCCTGTTCCAATTTGTTCTTTGTCCAGCAGTCTGCATCTTACAATGAGGCAATTTCAGTCCTCTGGAATAGTGACGATGGTGACTGCGACCAGAGGGGACTGGTAGTAGTTTTAGGAGATGGTTGAATTTGGAACCTAGTGAAGCCAACAAGGTGTGCTAATTACATAGTTTTTACATGGCCGGTTATCAAATGTATATTAGAAAGGTCATATTCAAAGTATAAAGACACTTAGGAATTTGCTTGAGGAAGAATGTAACTAAACTATACTATTCTCAAGGGGAATATCATATTTACTTTTAAGTGTATAAATTAATAATTGATGGCTCATGAACTAGAGGAAAAACTTATTTTGTAAAATACATATGTAAAAGTATTTTCTCCTCAAGTTTTATACCATGAATGATGAAATTAGTATTTTGTATTTTAAGGCTATAATTCTCATCTCTAAATCCCAGTCAGCAAAAGTTTCTGTGTGGATAGGGCTAGGTATTATAGGCCCTATATATTCACACACTGAATATATCTGACACACTGGTGTGAGATTACATGCAGTTAAATGGTAGCTCTACCAGTAGATAGCTTTATGATCTTCAGTAAGTTACTGGTTTCTTAGTGCATTTGTTTTCCAATGTAAAATTGAGATAATAATACTGACCACCTCAGGTGAGCAATTTTCTTTTGCCTGGATTCTTTCACTGTCTTTCTTCTACAGAACTTATTGTTTCCTAAAGATGTACCCAGACCGGGCACGGTGGCTCACGCCTGTAATCCCTGCATTTTGGGAGGCCAACGTGGGTGGATCACCTGAGGTCAGATCAAGACCAGCTTGGCCAACATAGTGAAATCCTGTCTCTACTAAAATTACAAAAATTAGTCGGGCATGGTGGCAGCCATCTGTAACCCCAGCTACTTGGGAGGCTGAGGCAGGAGAATCACTTGAACTTGGGAGGTGGAGGTTGCAGTGAGCAGAGATCGTGTCATTGCACTCCAGCTTGGGCGACAGAGTATGTCTCAAAAATAAAAATAAAATAAAATAAAATGCAGGTGTACTCTACCTTCCTAGCTCCAAAAGGGGAATGGCGATTGGCTTAAGCCAATCAGACCATACACATTGTGATTCACTGGTCCAGGAATCAGCATGTGACCTGTGTTAGTCTAACCAGGTGTTAGGAAAGGATTTATATTCTGCACTTGGATAGAGGGTTCCCTGCCTTCTCCTGTCTCTGGTTAGATGTGATTTAGGAGGTATGTGGCTTTAGCTGCCACTGTTGTCATTTTGTAGACAATAAGAGGAGCCACCAATAATATATGGCTGACAATAAGGACAGCAGAGACAGAAATATCCTGGAACTTCGATGATGTCATTGAGCAAATTGTGCTCTGCCTGGAGATAGCCCTACCTCTGTTCTTCTAGTTAGATAAAAAAGTCCTTCTATTGAAGGTTGTTTCTTATGGTAATGCGGTAAGGATTATATTTGATGGTAACTGGGAAACATTTTTTTGACACAGTATTGGGCAGTCAGTAAGTATGGGCTGTTATTCTAAGGTCTGAAATCCAAAGACTGTGTAGGCTGGGCTCTGGCTATGGGTCAGGCATTGGTAAGAAAGAGTAAAGAGAAGTGGGGAGCAGAAGTATGGTGTTACAGGGCGCAAGGACAGTGGAAGAGTAGACAGTCCCCCTTTTTTCTTTGGGGTCTACAGTGAAGTGTGACAGAAGGCATTCTTTCTGACGAATGGACAAAGTCTAGGCATGGGTGTCATCTATGGGGTCTGAGACAATTGTTTTGGAGGACGGGGACGAATAGAGACCAAGGATGTGAGGTCTGAGTGGGATGGGAGTGGGGCTCTTTAGGTCCTAGTTTTGTAGAAACATGATTACTAGTTATGTGGCATTAATTTCTTCCTGGGCCCCTTTGGAAAAGTATAAGACCTCTGGGAAAAGTAACAGATTAAATTTGTGACACAGTGTGAATGAGGCTTGATGATTGCACTTTCCTCTTGACTTCAAAGCCTCTGAAATTAGGGGTTGGAGGTTGTTGAAAGCTGAATAGAAGTTCTGGGGTGAGCAAAACACTTTTGTTCATTAACATATTGAGTCCCTACTATATAGTATTTTGTGAGAAGCTAGAGGTATAGCGTGAGTGAGATATCCTTGCCTTTAAGCCGTTTTATTCTGGGGCATTTGTGGTGACTTTGGGCCCTAGGGAAGACATCTAGAAGTGATGCTCAGGAGGGACATCTGGGCTGGAGATATGTGATTGGGTGGGATCGTTCTGCGTTAGTAGTTGATATCATAGGTGAGACCACCTGGGGAGAATGGAGCCTGAGGGATAAAAGCAAAGAGGCTTATGATGGAATCCATGGGAACACCTACAGTTAAGAAATGCCAAACAGGCTGGGCATAGTGGCTCACGCCTGTAATCCTAGCACTTTGGGAAGCTTAAGGGTGGGGGGCGGTGGATCATGAAGTCAGGAGTTCAAGACCAGCCTGACCAACATGAGGAAACCCCGTCTCTACTAAAAATACAAAAACTAACTGGGTGTGGTGGCCCACACCTGTAATCCTAGCTACTCAGGAGGGTTAGGCAGGAGAATTGCCTGAACCTGGGCGGCGGAAGGTGCAGTGAACCAAGATCTCACCACTTCACTCCAGCCTGGGCGACAGAGCAAGACTCTGTCTCAAAAAAGAAAAAAAGAAATGTGAAACAATCGGAGCTTGGAGAATTCTATAAAGATGACCAAGCCAGAAAGGAAGGACTGTGGCAGTGTGAAATATGTGCAGTATTTGGTCTTAGTCCTGTTTCCTGACGTACAGCTCCTAAAGCCTTTGGAATATGCAAATGGGTGAGTGTCTTTAGTATGCTAATGAGATGACTTGTGGCTGGGAGCCCCTAGTTAGCTTCAGGATGGGGACTGGTCATAGGGAAGGTCAAGATGTGATTAGAGGGTTGGAACTTTTCAGCCCCACCTCCAACTCTGGGAAGGGGAGAGGGGCTGAGAGTTGAGCTAATCACCAGCGGCCAATGATTAAATTAATCGTGTCCATGTAATGAAGCTTTCATAAAACCATAAAAGGACTGGGTTTGTGGAGATCCTGGATACCTTAACCCCTGGAGGTTCCTGGAGGGTGGCATGCCTGAGGAGGGCATAGAAGCTTTGCACTCCTTCCCTCATAACCTTGCCCTATGCATGTCTTCATCCATAACCTTTGAAATATTCTTTTTATTTATTTATTTTTTTAGACAGAGTCTTGTTCTGTTGCCCAGGCTGGAGTACAATGATGTGATCTTGGCTCACTGCAACCTTGACCTCCCGAGTTCAAGTGATTCTCCTGCTTCAGCCTCTAGAGTGGCTGGGACTACAGGCGGGTGCCACCATGCCTGGATAATTTTTGTATTTTTGGTAGAGACGGTTTTCACCATGTTATTCGTCTCGATCTCCTGACCTCATGATCTGCCCACCTCAGCCTCCCAAAGTGCTAGGATCACAGGTGTGAGCCACCATGTCCGGCCTTGAAATATTCTTTATAATAAACGAGTAAATGTGTTTCCCTGAGTTCTGCCAACTGCTGTAGCAAATGAGTCCAATCCTAGGAGTGGGTTGTGGGAATCCTGATTTACACCTAGTTGGTCAGAAGGCCAGGTAAACAACCTGGGACTTGTGATTGGCATCTCAAGTGGCGGGCAGTTTTGTGGGACTGAGCCATCAACTTGTGGGATCTAATGCTACCACCAGGTAGATAATTCAGAATTGATTTTTTTTTTTTTTTTTTTTTGAGGTAGGGCCTGGCTCTGTAGCCCAGGCTGTAGTTCAGTGGCATGATCTCTGCTCACTGCAACCTCCACCTCCTGGGCTCAGGCGATTCTCTTGCCTCAGCTTCCTGAGAAGCTGGGACTATAGGCACCCCTCACCATGTCTGGCTAATTTTTGTATTTTTAGTAGAGACGGGGTTTCACCATGTTGTCCAGGCTGATCTTGAATGCCTGAGCTCAAGGGATCTGCCCACCTCCACCTTTCAAAGTGCTGGGATTACAGGTGTTAGTCACCAAGCCCACGCCAGAATTAAATTTAATTAGAAGACACACAGCTGTGTCCACTACAGAATTGATTGACTAGTTGGTGGTGGTGTTAAAGGAAATTTATAGGAGGCCATTGATTTGGACTGAACTACTACTACCAGGCCCAACAGACCAAACCACAATGTAATCACTTAAACTTGCACATCACCAAGCCAAAACTAAGATGTTTGACCTTTTGAAAAATCAAGAGAGATAGAGACAATAACTAACATAGTGAAACCTCGTCTCTATTAAAAATGCAAAAATTAGCCGAGCGTGGTGGTCCATTCCTGTAATCCCAGCTACTCCGGAAGCTGAGGGAGGAGAATTGCTTGAACCTGAGAGGTGGAGGTTGCAGGGAGACGAGATCTCGCCATGGCACTGCAGCCTGGCTGACAGAGCAAGACTCTGTCTCAAAAAAGAAAAAAAAGCAAGGAGTTCCCATC